ATTGACAATATCCTTGGTATTAAATTATCACTCACTCATAAAGATATCACTTTGATCACCTGTCTTAATATCTGCTGTTGTACCATTTTATTTACAATCCTCCTTTCGTTTTCTCGTCTACCAGTCATAGACTGTATTGAAAAATTCCAATTTTGCTCACGAGTTTTGCACGCCATCTATTATGGATCTTAAATGTCAACACACTGTCCTGTCAAAAATTCCAAGTTTTCTACCTAATTCGGTCGCTACGTGGAATTCCACTTGGCAGGACTGTACCCTCTCGAGCATCAGGGACACGATTCGCAGTGCCGAATATTCAAATTCCCAGGCAAAAGCCTCGTGATCGATCATCCGAGTCTGGAATCGCACGCCAACGAGGGACAGAAGTCGCCATCGCCGTGCAAGATTCCTGCCGCGACGTACGAATATGAAAGATTAGGCACGCGCACTAATACACTCGTCGACGAGACGCGCGATTACGTCGCGGAAACGAATGGCCGTGGCGCGATAAGCGCGAGACGAAGTGGTTTTCGTCAGGTCAGAGCCGCGAAGTCCTTTTCGATCGGTCCCCGGCGGCTTTCTGAAAAACCAACGATCCGTCGCGTTTTTGCCGCGGAACCTCGTAATCCCCTTATCCCGGCCAATTATCGCGTATTCTTCCTCCCCACGCGAACCAATTACCTCCGCGGCCAGCGTTCCGCCGTGTCGTGACCTTTCGCTGCCGCCGTTCCTCCGCCATGCTCTTCGGCCATTATTTATCTCAGCCGCGGATCTATAGGCTCCTCCAACGTTTTAATTGCCCGCCGCAAGTCCGTGATCCGCTTTGCTCGCGGTACCGACCTCGAGCCGTGGCTCTGTCCACGTGGACGTCCAAAGGGGATGTTTCCCTTGGCAGAGTCTGCGCTCTGGGGTTGCAACAGATGCTTATTTATTTGACAGATCAGTTAACGAAACCTATCTTAAGATAAAAGAAAGAAGGAAGGTCGAGATTCGCCAGAAAAATTGAAGCATATCTAACCGAAGATAAATTGGGCAACGGATGACACCATATTGCTGTCATGCAGAGGGTTAATAACGTTTAGGAGTATGATTTTGAGAAAAACCTATTTCATCCTCTTGTGTCGTAGTGAATCCTATGTTTTTATTGTTTATACACGAGGAAAGAGAGTTTAGATATATGTACATACATATTTGACAACCTCTAGCGACTCATTACATGAGTAAGCAAACTGTATTAGTCATCGTTAGTCATAATGAAGGAACGAAGTAAACACGTGTCTTACGGTTCCGTGGCTATTATAAAATGAAGGTATTTAAAGGAAGAAATTCGCTCTGCCAATTGCTGCTCAATGACATCGCGGAGGAAACGATGCAAAGATCTGCCAAGAGACACAGAGTACCTCAAAGTAGCCACGTGTACTGCACTTTAATCGCGTTACAGAGAATAGAAAAGAAAAATGACAGGTTATGACGAAATATAGTTTGGTTATCCGATTAGTGGGCACCCGGACCATTTTCCTGGTCTTATTTAGACATGCCCCGAGTTCAAATAGTACTCCGTCCGGACAAGCAATTCCGGTTCCCCGTCAGGATGACGCTGCGTTTCACGCAGGCCGACTCGTCCCGGCTCGGGCTAAGTGAATGGTTAAGTAAGCGATTATCTCCTTGAGCGTATAATCGATCGATGATTAATGGGATCGGCGTTGTCGGATGCGGTTCCAATTAGGAAGCGTCCCCGGCGATCAACGCGTCGATACGCGTGCCGCCGCTTGATTGTTTCAGTCCACGTGCTCCAAGGCGATGGGCGTGGCACGGGCGATTTTTAATTTCGTCCCTAAAACCGAACCTCTTTGTCATTCGCCTCGTCGTCGACGATAACCACTCCACCCTGCGTTTAATCACCAGCGAGGAACTGCCACGTTCGAAGGTCCGCAAACACCTAGAGGTCCACCTAACCTATATACCCACGAATATTCCGTGGAAAAACACGAAAAATCTGACAACGGACGCGAGTAATCGACGCGTCCACGCCTAACGCCTGTCAAAACACCTGGACTAACTCGATTGTCCCTGTCACGGAGACCGCGCGAGCTCGGAACCCAGCCTAAATCGCTAGAGCAAACAGGCACGACGAGTAAACTTTCGCTCCCCCGGTATAAGATCGTGTTTCACGCGTTTCGAAGCGTGCACACGCGGAGATTCACGCGCCCATGGAGGGCCGTACGCCATCGCTCCGGTTCGCGCATTCCGATTGGCCTATGCCCGCTTTTCATTCCGTCGCTTCCGGTCCGTCCGTCGGCCTCCTCGCGAGCCGACCTTGCGGGAGGAAGCGCAATTATCAGCGCCGATCTCACGGGCTCGTCGCTCTGCCCCATCTCTCGTTGTACGATCCGTATCTGCGCGCGGTTTTCTTTATTTCGCGTTTCTTTTGCCGCGTTGTTTCGCGCAGTTTCCGTCACGCTCGCGACACCTTTCTTCCGGTGACACGCACACGGTGATCCGGGACGATATCGTACGCTTTTTAGACCCCGTCCTCTGTCTGGTTTCTCGGGAACGCGTTACAGAGCGATTCTAAAATAGGATACTTAGGTGTCTTGACCGGAACTTGCAAAGAATTGTCATTGAAACGAGGATCGCGAGGATTTTCGCGCCAAGATCGTGCAGCAAGGGCTATCGCGAGTGGCATTTGACGTCTGCGTCGATTGGTTCCCCCGCAAATCGGTGGATCGTTGGTAAACACTCGATGCAGGGTTGTTTGACAGAGGGCTGCTGACGGAAGCGAGGAGAGTCGTCGATCGGGGAAGCATTAGCCACGGTCATTAGCCGCGGACGGGGGCATCTCGTGGAGAGGAAGAGCATTGAAAATCAAATTGTCTTGAGGGTAAATAAAGCGCGTGCAGCCTCGTATCCTGCGGTACGCCGTTATCCCGACGGCCATCCTAATGGGGTCCTGTCCCAGAGGGTCGCGTGGCAGAACGCGGCCGCTTCACGACATTGCGTGCCACTATTTACGAGTGAACAACCTCTTGCTCATCCTTCCTGCACGCGTCGCTCCTTCTCTCGGACGCTCCTCTCGCGGAATCGGCCGATGATCTTCCTTCCTGTTCCTCGGCGTGGCAACCTGTTACTGCCGCGTGTCCCTTCGCTTCGATCGCTGCCAAGTTACAAATAGGAAATCGAACCCGCGTTCCGTGCAACTCCACTCGAATGGTCGGTGGACGAGAGAATGAAGAGAGCGCAGTGAACGTTCGATGGATCGAAGGGATCCAATTTCTCACGGATTTCCTAATTTCACCGAGTTGACAATACCATGTTTAGCATTCAGGGCCAAGACTTTTGAAGAAGAGGAAGAAAAAGAAGGAAAAATCGGCTATCGCGAAAGAGCTTGTAATTCTTTGCGAAGAGTGCTAAGCGGAACGGTAGCACTTGTCAATATTTTACTCAGTTTTTGTGACAGGTGACTATAGTCACCGATGACATTTCGTGACCGATGACTGTAGTCTATTGTACACAATGTATAGCATTGCCTTTCGACGCTAAAGAATCCCTATTCTAGTCATCGTCGACTATAAGCTAATCGCTGTCAATCAGGCAATCCAGACGTTTCTTTGATCGACACACTGATGGTAAATCGATAGTCTATGAAGGAAAATTCCATCATGGTCAGGATCAAGTTTGGAGCACGTGTTGCCGATAGAGAGACGGTCGTTAAGGACCGGTAGGAGGATAGTACAGCTCAGTGCGATTGCGTACGATGAAAACTGGCCCGAAGGGTCGCGTGGCGCACGCGTGCTTGACCGAGGAGCATTGCGTGCGCCTTTTTATGAGCGGCCATCGGCTAAGTCGCGCATCTTTCATGCACGCATCGATGCCCTTCGACGCTAAATGCTCCACGGAGGAGGTTGTTCGCTTTCGAAACGCATCGGCGGACTGGTATCATCCGACTCTCGGCCGGCGGAGCTCGCTGGTGGTCTTGTTCTTATTCGTACACGGTCTGCCACGCGGTGATACCGTGGTGCTTTCACTTTACCTCGGCCTGGAACTCCTGAAATATCGTATTTTACCCGGCCGCGATCGGTTTCTTCGTGTAAATGATACGAAAATCGTGTGTCGACCTCGGGGCCCACGTTGCCTGCGCGCGCGCTTCGTGCGACAGGTTTCACTTCCACTCCGAGCCTCCCAGCCAATCGTTTCGCCTCTAATTGCTCCTTCTAACATCGTTATTTCGGATTCCCGTTCAATTAGGCGCATTAGAAGCGTATTAGCGTCCACTCGAGCCGCGGTTTCGCCAGATTCACCTGTAATTCGAGTTTGATAGCCACCTTCCACTCGGATTCCTCGGCAATCTAATTCTTGCATCGTGGCCTATGACTAATCTCGCCAGACGTCCGATTCATCCTCTACACTGGTCGTTAAACCTATCTTTACGGTACACGCTATTTTACGCGTCGCTCTCTTACTCCTCCGCTCGTCCCCCTGTGCCTCGAACGCGTGTCGATCTTCCGCGTGTAGAGGCATCCTTATCTTTTCCGATCGAATCCTTCCGCTCGAGAGAAACGGACGATTTTCGCCGCTGAAACGTCGTTATCGGGGCCCGATGCCGTGTAATCCCCCGTCATCGATTCGGTTCCTTCCGCGCGAGAGAGAAGCCTCGAGAAGGAGAGGGAGGGAACCCAAACTGCGTGGCGAAAGTATCAAACGACGGAAGGAGATTAATGGAGAACGGTCGCAGAGAAGATCCGGCAATACGTGACAGGATGTGAGCGACACTTCCTTTTAAGCCCTATAATAAGCCGTCGATCTGTTGCCCGCTACACCTGCCGTACCCCTCTGCTTAACATGCACGCCATAATTGCGAAACGTACGAGAACCAGATCGTACGTCGTTTAAATATCGCGTCGCCGAATCCACGATTCGTTTGCGGAATTTCCACCGGAATTTCTATTTCCTCCCCGATTTTCACTCGCATCTAAGCAATCGTTCTAACCTTCCTGTTGCAGTGGTGATGCACAAAGACAAGGAGGAAAACTCTCACCACGATTCGCACTACCGCGCGAGGGAGCTGGCGGCGTTCGCCGCGTACGACCATCATCATCTCGACGGCGAAATGTTCCTGCAGGTGAGTCATAAACCATCGTGCCCCGAGTTGCTGCTAAACAACCAGGCAATTAATATTTCCTAATACCTGAAAGTGAAACGTAATCCCTAACGAGGTTATGTTATCTTTACCCCTTCACGCTCCTAGCTCTTTCTTCCTTTCCCTCTTCCTTTACTACCATCTCCGCTTTTCCTTAACCAAATTTTCCGATTAAAACGCTACTGTACTATTTAAGTTGACGAAATCCGGGCCCAAACTGTGGGCATCAACGCGCGGTGAACAGACCAAATGCTTGAAAACAGTTGCAATACGATGATATTTACGTTTAGCCCGATTTGCTGTCAACGTGCCTGGCCCGTGATATTCATGTTCGACCCAATATCTTCATCACGAGTCAGATTCGTTAAAGTACGGCAAGGGATTAAGATGAGCGACCATTACGACAGATGTACTCGTCGCCTTCGTTCGCTTTCTTTGTCACATGATGTTCTATGACCGGGATAAATAGGAAAGGATCAGTTCTACCAATAAGGGAAACGTTTTACTCTGCTTCTGCCACGATGTTAGAATGGTTGGGCTGGTGGGCATTCGGTCCTACAAGTTTCTCACATGACTTCTTTTCAGCAGAGTACTCGTCTAGTGCGAAGGGTTAACACATTAAGTTTCTCACGGGGCCCAAATCCGACTGTCGGAGTATCAGAATGTTATCGGACTGATGATTTGGATGGGCCTAGTACAACGCGTCAACGACCCCATTTCCCCCCATTGGTCAACGGACCCCACTTACAATTTTCCATTTCCGCGCAGCAGGATGTCCTCTATGACAGGGCAGCCATTTTGGGTCTACCGGTGACGACCCTTGGCTCCTCTTAATAGCCCTAACCTAGCCATTCTTTTGGTCCCGAAGTGCCCTCCCTGTCTCGCGGATTCGTCCCCCGGTCGGAACCCAGGAGCGGAAAAACAACCCCTAAAATTGCGGCCTCGCGGTCATCCGATCCTCGGAATCTGCAGTTCGGTTACTCTTGGAGAGAGGAGCTGCCGAGAAGACGGGTGGATGGCCGGGCTGGGGGGAACGGGGCGAAATTAAATCATCGCGAGTGAGAGGAAAAGACAGGAAGAGGCGAAGGAGAGCGAGCGGGGAGAGATATCCGGCTGATGAACCGGCTATGAAACCGAGGCGTACGAGGTGTCTATTCCTCCAAAGTATGGAAGGGTATATACACGGATTAATGGCGGTGTATCATGCGAAAGGCATCCTTATCTTTTCCGATCGAATCCTTCCGCTCGAGAGAAACGGACGATTTTCGCCGCTGAAACGTCGTTATCGGGGCCCGATGCCGTGTAATCCCCCGTCATCGATTCGGTTCCTTCCGCGCGAGAGAGAAGCCTCGAGAAGGAGAGGGAGGGAACCCAAACTGCGTGGCGAAAGTATCAAACGACGGAAGGAGATTAATGGAGAACGGTCGCAGAGAAGATCCGGCAATACGTGACAGGATGTGAGCGACACTTCCTTTTAAGCCCTATAATAAGCCGTCGATCTGTTGCCCGCTACACCTGCCGTACCCCTCTGCTTAACATGCACGCCATAATTGCGAAACGTACGAGAACCAGATCGTACGTCGTTTAAATATCGCGTCGCCGAATCCACGATTCGTTTGCGGAATTTCCACCGGAATTTCTATTTCCTCCCCGATTTTCACTCGCATCTAAGCAATCGTTCTAACCTTCCTGTTGCAGTGGTGATGCACAAAGACAAGGAGGAAAACTCTCACCACGATTCGCACTACCGCGCGAGGGAGCTGGCGGCGTTCGCCGCGTACGACCATCATCATCTCGACGGCGAAATGTTCCTGCAGGTGAGTCATAAACCATCGTGCCCCGAGTTGCTGCTAAACAACCAGGCAATTAATATTTCCTAATACCTGAAAGTGAAACGTAATCCCTAACGAGGTTATGTTATCTTTACCCCTTCACGCTCCTAGCTCTTTCTTCCTTTCCCTCTTCCTTTACTACCATCTCCGCTTTTCCTTAACCAAATTTTCCGATTAAAACGCTACTGTACTATTTAAGTTGACGAAATCCGGGCCCAAACTGTGGGCATCAACGCGCGGTGAACAGACCAAATGCTTGAAAACAGTTGCAATACGATGATATTTACGTTTAGCCCGATTTGCTGTCAACGTGCCTGGCCCGTGATATTCATGTTCGACCCAATATCTTCATCACGAGTCAGATTCGTTAAAGTACGGCAAGGGATTAAGATGAGCGACCATTACGACAGATGTACTCGTCGCCTTCGTTCGCTTTCTTTGTCACATGATGTTCTATGACCGGGATAAATAGGAAAGGATCAGTTCTACCAATAAGGGAAACGTTTTACTCTGCTTCTGCCACGATGTTAGAATGGTTGGGCTGGTGGGCATTCGGTCCTACAAGTTTCTCACATGACTTCTTTTCAGCAGAGTACTCGTCTAGTGCGAAGGGTTAACACATTAAGTTTCTCACGGGGCCCAAATCCGACTGTCGGAGTATCAGAATGTTATCGGACTGATGATTTGGATGGGCCTAGTACAACGCGTCAACGACCCCATTTCCCCCCATTGGTCAACGGACCCCACTTACAATTTTCCATTTCCGCGCAGCAGGATGTCCTCTATGACAGGGCAGCCATTTTGGGTCTACCGGTGACGACCCTTGGCTCCTCTTAATAGCCCTAACCTAGCCATTCTTTTGGTCCCGAAGTGCCCTCCCTGTCTCGCGGATTCGTCCCCCGGTCGGAACCCAGGAGCGGAAAAACAACCCCTAAAATTGCGGCCTCGCGGTCATCCGATCCTCGGAATCTGCAGTTCGGTTACTCTTGGAGAGAGGAGCTGCCGAGAAGACGGGTGGATGGCCGGGCTGGGGGGAACGGGGCGAAATTAAATCATCGCGAGTGAGAGGAAAAGACAGGAAGAGGCGAAGGAGAGCGAGCGGGGAGAGATATCCGGCTGATGAACCGGCTATGAAACCGAGGCGTACGAGGTGTCTATTCCTCCAAAGTATGGAAGGGTATATACACGGATTAATGGCGGTGTATCATGCGAGGCTATTACGTTCCCTTTCCTGCGTTTTAGCTGCACACACGGGAGGAACAGAGCGAGGGTGAGGCCCCATAGTGGGGGATACGATACCGGGTATCGTGCTGGTGGGGAAGAGAAGATGCACGGTGGGGGTAGAAGCGATATGTGCCCGCACGTACGAAGCGGTACCCGCGATTCCATGCGATCGAACGATTCCTGCCAGCATCTATAACGGCCGGTTATTAATTGCTCGCTGGTTAATTGCGTTACGTAGCTCGTGCCGCGAGCTGATCCCTGGACGGGACATTCTGACAGCTTGGGACGCCAACTGCGCCATTTCTCGCCGCATCGAGACCTGTTCCCTCTTGCAGACCTAGCCATGGGGTGTTTCCGACGCTTCTCTCCTGCTTCGAATCTTTTCGTCGGAGAAAATTACATTTTTCTCCTGTTCGTCGTTATTTCTAATTCGAGATCTAGCAGGGTCTAGGACCCATCGATTAAGAAGATCGTAATCTTCTTAATCCCACCATCCTTTAATCGCCAAGCTCCCGGGAAAGGAATAGAGGGGAGAAGAAAGGAGGTACCGGCGTAATAACAGCGATCAGTTTGGCAAAATGGCGGCAGGGATGGGAAAGCACCGGATAAAAGTTTCATCCGCGAACACTTTGGATAATTCCACGAGCGGCAGGGGTAGCAGGAATTAACCGTTCAGCCGGGCCTCGTATTTTCTGCGATTCGTGGAGTTCCTTGAACCTGTCCTTCCGAGGACTTCCCTCGGCCTCCTACGCCTTTCGTCCCTTTTCTCCCCGCGCCGCTGCCTGCTCCCTCTGTGCCCACGTTATACACCGTTTTGCCGATCCTCGTAAAGTTCACGAAGCCCGACAGTAAATCCGGTTTATGACAAGCCGACCGCCACCACCGGACACTCTCGAAATTACGGCTGAGCGATCGAATTTTTATACTCCCCCTTACCACCAATTATAGCGTTTTCAGCGTGGCCGCATGCGAGTGGATCGGAAGGACATCGCCGGGCTGCTTCGGCTCTCGTACTCGGCTTCGTCCTTTGAATCTATGACGAGCAACAAGCCCGTTCGTCTTCCCCGTTTGCTCGTCTATCGTGTCACCTCCCCGAGCGCAACAGCCGGGGTAGAAAACGCGGGAAACGTCCTCTCCTCTCCTCTCCGGCTCGATTAATCGGGAATTATTGCCCGGGACGATCGAAAGCGGGCGGCTGCGCTGCCGGACGATAAAAACCATATCGTTGCATAATTTACGCGGACGAAACCGAGTCCCTTGGAATATTTAAGGCAATTTCGCAGATAGCGATCGCCGCGGCTCGCGCAGATAGCGTGCAAGCGGATACTTTCCCGCTGGATACTTACGATTTTCTCGACCGCGCGCGCGGATGCATTACTCGTGCGAAGGTTTCCTAGCTAGAGACGGTTAGCGCGCCTTTTCCGACACTTCCCGCGCGTTTCAGCCGGCCAGGTGAACCCGTAAATCCGTGGAACGGCCGAGGGGATGCCCCTGTGTCTCCGCCGCGTGAATTTTTCGCGAATTAAACGAGTCGAGCATGTAACGAGACCCGATATCTTTACGACCGATCTCGATGAACAATTACTTATTAATAGTGGCGCTCAATGGGTCACGCGACGGTTTAATCACCGTAATGCTCTTTTACCGCATTTTTTCGCTCGATTTATGCCGCCGAAATTGGAAGTCTCGAGCTTCGAAGAAGATGGAAATTTCGAAGTTCCAACTTTCTCCGCTTGAAAGCTTCGCAAACGTGTAATTTAGGGGGAAGTACCTCGAATTCCTTCGTCGCGAAAGCTCTGAAGCGTGCCGCGGCGAGGTTACGCGGCGCAGAGGGCGCCACGGTCGTTCTCCGGCGGACGCCATGTTGTCCGATCACCGATCCTCCGCGTTCGGAACACCGCGTTTGTCCTCGTTCGTGGACGATAA